GCCGGGGTTGCCTCTGAGCTCCGCTGCCGTCGCCTCAGCGCGCGCCGGCTGCTTCGCTGCGAGTGCCGCCGAAGAGAGAGAGAGCTGCTTCTCTGGGAATCCCGCAAAGAGAGAGAGCGAGCTGCTTCTCTCGGAGTCCCGCCCAGAGAGCTGCCTCCTCTCCCCAAAAAAAAACTACCCCTTTAAACAACAATAGAGTGCTTGGCTTCCCCCCTCTGGGTGGGACCCCTCACGGTGTTACATTTACCAGCCCTGCATTGAATCAGTCAATGGTGTATAAACAAACCATTGCCTCTACGGGGCAAACCATTGTCTCTGAGAGAGATAACAAAAACCTGTCCAACCGGTTTGCCTTCAACAGATGGCAAATGGAATACAAGCTTATCTTACAACCCAGGACAACTAGCCAGAAACTAAACATAACTACTGTATGTCAACTACATAAATGAAAGAGCTACCACACATTTCAGTAACAGCTGCTTCTAATGTCAATGTTTCATTTTAGAATTACAGAATATTTAGAATTTTCACAGAGGCTTACCTCTACTTCACTACAGATCTGAATTCTGACATCACACAGCAACACTCTGAAGTCACTGAGCCATATCTGTTCCCACAAGTGGAAGAGAGACCTCACAAAAATTTAACTCAACAGTTGCAATCAGGAGTCTCAACAGGAAGATGTTGCAATACCAAGCTTTACATAATTATATTAATATCCCAAGTATCCTTAAAATATATAGCGCTGGAGTATCACACTAAGTGCTAGGAACACTGTAAACACATTTTATTTTTTTTCACTTTAGTTTTCATGAACAAAACATGTTAATTCAGTTTTTTAAATTCCCAACACAGAAGGCAGTGGTTTAGCTTTTTATTGGTAAACAATAAATCACCTCCTCAATTAAAATCATGTTCTAACAATTCTGGTAAGTCCACAGTGACTTTATTTACTTACAATTTAATATCAGAAGAAAAAATTAACATTCCAGGTTACTGTAGAAAAAAAGTGTATACCACACTTAATGGCATACAAGACTTGTAACAAGCAAAAAATACCCTGTTTTACAAGTAATCTCCTTTTCAAATAGGATTTTATCTTAGTGCATTTAGTACTCTCTCCCCATAGGCTATACATTGAGAATCTCTATATACAAAAAGATACAACAAATTGATACATTACTTATTGCAAGATATTAAGGATGCCACAAAATACACAAATTAAATTAGTTCCCCCCGACTTGCATACCCTCTTGCTTCTTATTTCTCTCATGAAGCAGTCTCCTTCTCTGGTTCTAAGATTAAGTTCTTTCATTGAAAGGCACGTACTTCTCTACAATAGAAGAAACAGATGCATTAATCTGAAATGCCCTGTTTCAAGGTGAATTTAGCCTACATTTTTCAAGATGACACATTATGAAAGAACCCAGAGAGACATGACATTTTATTATTATATTTGACTGGAAAAACAGATAGTTACCATATTACTGTGAAGCAAAGTACCATAAACCTGCATTCATTTAACCTTTCCAAATAGAGAGACAACTCATATACAAAAATAAAAAGGGATTTACCATGATGAATATATTTTTGAACTTTCAAGGCTCCTGAGTTCCTACTGAAACTCTGGCGGTCTTGGTAGCATTCGAGTTATGGAATACTATAAATAAATTGAGTAAATTTCTCTCCTTGTGCCTTGCAGCACTGAGCAAGTAGCTTCTGTGTGAAGTCACTCATTGAGGATTTTAAACTAGAAGTGTGACATAATTTTGAAAAACAAAGATGTGATAATAACTGTTCCTCAGTTAGCATGTATGTAAAGTTTTGCGAGTGACCAAAGACTAGAATTTTATGCTTGGGCAGTTAGAGTACACTTAAATTTTGTCTATGTTACAGCTGAGGGCACTGAGGACCTTTTTTCATGTAGCTCTGAAAGAAAATAGCAACCCTTGAAAGCACTAATGCATCTGGACACCAGTATACTAACACTATCATGATTTTTAGGATAGAAGTAAGTTTCTATGCCTAGTCCTGCAAAGGGTTGAATACAGTTAACAGCTAACCCAAAATAAGCCTATAGGGATTTCTAATATAGGCATACTATTCCGTAGAGTATCACCTTAAAAAAAGCTTGATATTTTCAAGGAATAAAAATGAAAGCATACTGGGTGCTACTGCAGTCTTTTAACATGTCACAAAGAAAATAGGAAAAAAGATGTATTTATATAGATATATAACAATACTTTTATATATATACCACAACTTAATTACTTTGAGGTCAATAACAAATATAAGTGAACATGGAGATAAGAATTTCCTGTAACTGCATTGTTTTTTAGTGCATTCTGTTGTAAGTTGTGGCAGAATGAAACTTAAGCACTGAATAAGCTCAATTGTTGAGTCTAAGTTAAGTAAAACTGCAACTGTTCTTTACTTAACAAAGCACTGAATTCAAAAAGCTTAGTTTACTAAAAGCCTCTCTTCCTTGCTCCGAGGTTCCAGGCCTGACTATATATTTAAGCTACCTCCAAAAAAACCTTATCAATCATACCTCTGAATTACTATAAGTGTCAGAACAAAGTGTAATGACATCTCCCAAAAGTATGTGAGCATCATTTTCATGATGCTGTCCTCAGCATCAAGCTGTCTTTGCTTATTCAGGCATTTTGTATTCCCTTTGGTGACTGTGCTTAAGCATGAAGACTGATTACTAAGCTTCAGTGCAGATGCAAACAAGTTGAAACAAGGGATAATAAATTAACTTTAAAAAGTTAATTCCCAATCAAGATTAAAAAAAAAAAAATTCAAGTACTCTAGTTTTTAAACTATCCTCCCAGCAATGATGTATCTTTGCAAAGTCTTAACACCATTTTACCAAGCTGCTCTACAGAGATTTGTGGAGTAAATTCACATTGTTCAGCACTGCTTTCATTCTACACATGAACACTATTTCAAGAAAAAGTAACTCTTAAAATTTTAAGAGCTTCTCCCCATAAAAGAGAACACAGGAAGATATCAATATACAAAACCAAAGAAAATTCACCATCTTCACTAAATCTAATTGAAGTCCCTGTTTTCCTGAGTTCCCAGTATCAAAACGAGGACTTGAATAATTTACGCACATACTTTCAGAGCACTGTGGAAACAACAGTTTAGATACTTCTACTGTGAAATACTTTAACAAATTTTTCTTCTCGCTCAAAATGAAATATTTAGGAAACAGGAAGGCAGAAAAATCAGAAATAGGCTCTCTGAAAGTTATAATTGTATAATACTGTTTGTTAATGATGACTACCTATATTATAATTTTACTTCCTACTAAAACACATACTTGATATTCCTGTAAATAAGCATTTTAAAAGAGTATCATGTTAATTTGTCATCAAATACCTCACTATCAACAAGTATGCTGAATTACAGCAAAAGCTAAAAGATTTAAGGAAGACATTGAGAGAATTCCTGGATATAATGTGACAATTACCTATTATATTTTACATATGTATGTGTATATTATATATATATATATATATATATGTAGATATATATGTGTACTGGAACCAGAATAACATGGGGTAATGGTAAATGTCACATAATCCTAAAATGCAGAGGAAGTTGAGATATTCTAGCTATTTTAGTTTTAGTGTATGGGGGAGAAAAAAATCAAGAGAGGCTTTGACTTACAAAAAAAATTAAATCAGAAAGATTCCCATTAGGGAGACAAAGTTAAAGCAGACTGACTATTTCTCTTCAAGTGCCAGAACTGCATCCAAAGTTCCTCCTTGTAAACTGTAGAACACCTGAGTTATTACTCCAATACTTTTAATTCACGACATCATGTATTGCATTTATCAAACTGTTTTGCTTGAGATTTGAATCTGATTTCACATTAACCAGTGTGAATCAATTACTTGCTGTGACTGTAAGAACTCATCTGATCTCTTCTGATACTTGACAGTAGTCAAGTAGCTCTAACTATGAACCATGACTATGATAATCCCATCAATTTTTTTTTTCACTCTATCTACATGTGCAATGTGATGGCATTACTCAGTAAGGAAGGAAAAAATTTAACTGTGAATAACATAAATTTAAATTTTAATTGATCATGTTTAAGGACACTAAAGAAACAGAACAAAAGTTCAAACAAAATTTGGTTTTGGAAGTTCAAACAAAGTACAACAAAATTTTCCTGTATCTACAAAGTTTCTGAGAATAGCTTAAGAATATTAATATTTCAGTGCAGCAATATCAAATGTAAAACCTGGTGCAGGATCATCATGCTGACTACTTTAGCAATAAGAAAGCAGAATGAAGCAAAGCTGCCTGAAGCAGAACTCATAGGTGAGAATACATAGGAAAAGCTGAAGAGCCTCCAAATTAGGAAAACAAAAGAGAAAGGTAAAAGCTAGCTGTTGACTTAACATTAACGTCAATGACACTGTATTTGTAACAAAAATATCCTACCTTCCTCTCCATTTCTCTGGAACTCACATGTTGAAGGCAAATGGTGTTTATCTTCTTGCCCACTAAATTCTTGCCCATTTAAAATTCAAGTGATCTTGACATCCCTTCTCCAACTATGCATATGAAACACAGTAGTGAGCTTTCTCAGAGAAACTGCTTATCACCCACACTCCTTCACTTCTACGGCTAGAAGTACATTCAGGTTCAAAATACAAACCTTCGAGGATGGCTGGCATCAAATAGTGTTGTATCATCATCATCATCATCTTGTTCTAAAGGGGTCAGCTCCATGTTTTCTATGTTTGTATCCAAAACTCCGTATCTTCGGGTTTTTCTATTTTGCCTTCTGAGCCTGAAAAATATTTTAAAACATTCAAGTAATGTAAATATTTTGCTACTTTCTGATCCAATAATGTAAAATACTGCTATATTGATACTTAGTGTAAATTTTCTAAAATCTATGATAAGTGTACACACTTAGCTCTATGAAATTCAGAGGTCAGACAATTCTAAGTGTCAACAGTTTACATGAAATGATTAAGGTCACTGTAGTTTTGTATAGGATTAATGTAGTGAACACAAAAATGGCAATTAGCATCTAAAGGTAAGAGCCACATTAAAAATATATGCAAAAGCATACTTCTAACGTACTTGTACTGAGAAAAAAATTGCCTTGCTGCATATTCTCTATGTGTCTTACGCATCTGAAAAGAATGGCAGATCAAATCAGGCAGAAACCAAACAAAGCTATAGCAAAACTATAACGTGTAACACAAGTCATGGCTGACACTAGAAATTTTTATTATAATTTGTGAAATCTTTTACAGATACCAAGTTTAAAAAATTGTCTATAATTACACTTTAGAATAAGACAGATCTTGTAGAGTCAATATCTTGTCTGCTTCACAAAGCACAGAAGGAAGAGGCATGTTTCAGGATGAAGGCACAGTACTTATCACAGATAAGCAGATTGTCTGCATCTGCTTTTCTCATTCTCCACAGCTTGGCTGCATGGGCCTTGGTCTCACGTGCATCATGTGCACACAATGAACCATGTGCACACGATGAACCATTCAGTTTGGTTTTCCAGAACTACTCCTTAACACATGGAACAAGCCTTGCTCAAGTTCCAGAACTCAGACCAGTAGCCACTCACCAAACACTGTGCAAAGGCATTTGTTTACAGAATGCCAACAGAGTCACTTTCAGTAACTGGCTAACAACTACATGAAAGCTACAGGACTTTAAAAAAAACTTCTGTCTAGGTACTTAGTGCTAAACGTAAAGAAGGTAACAGGTCTTTCATTTAGAAACTCCAGAATTTACAATCCCAATCTAAATGCCTACAAAACATGTTTACAACATTCAGGAACTTCAACACAGAGTATTTCTGAGCTAATATTAAAAAAAATTAATTAATATATTGCAATATTATAGCATTGCTATCATATTACTTATAATACATTATACTACTGTATACTGTGCATAGTGACTTCTCTGTCACACATTTAGGCACCACTTGAATATCTTGTAAGAGATTCCAAATACAATACTGAGATTGTCAGCTTCAATACCTGTCCTAAAACTCTAGTGTACTTACATAACCTGTTTAAATACCCTTCTTGAAAGAACACACAACAGCATTCAATCTTGGTTTATCTCTTCACTATACTCCAATGTATAAAATATATCTCCTTTTGGAACTGAGAAATAAATAGAACCTTGTAAGAATGGGAAAGAGACAAAGTACATTCCATTCTTCAAAGTTCTCCAATTTCTAATGTTATAATAAATAATCAACATGGTAATTTCCTCCACTCTCAATTATGACATGAAAATGCAGCAACTGTTATCCCAGGCACCTAAGTGCTTTAGACCAGAACAAATTACCCAGCTTTTTCATTAAAGCTAAGGCCAGTACCAAAACCAAAAATTTTACCTTTCAGTTCAAGACAAAGTCCCTTCCATGTTCTTAATTTATTTCATCTGTTCTTTATTCGTCAACATGGAAATAAGTTGTACACTTCAAAGCACCAAGTAGAATGAAATTCTAAAACTTTTTAAAGATTACAGTATAATGAAAGATAGGGCTTTTTTTTTTACATATTATGCCTTTTGGTTTTCACTAAAGTAGAAGCTAAGCAACTGGGACTAGGACAAGCATTGTGGATATCCTAGCAGATAAGAAACTACTTTAAACACATTTAAAAAAAGAAATTAAGAAGAGGCAGTACACGCTACTCATGTAGTCAATAGTTCAATCTCACTTTACATTTTACCTTTTTCCCTTAATGGGTAAAAATGGAAAGTGAGTAGCTACTGTGATTTGAAAGTAACCTAAGACAGTCGTAGCAAATGTCTAGATTGTAGAAAATGCAAATAAAACTTATCACAAAGCTGGCACAGATTTTAGATTCAAACAAATCCTGTTGAAAAAAGACACACTAATCACTTGTGACTCAAACTCTATCTAAGAAGTACTTAAAAAACTACAGCTACAGGAATACTGGAGATGCTTATGCAACATGCATGTATGACCACAGACACGACTCTAAAGCAGCGTCCTGAGTGTTAACAAAAATAACTTAAGATCTTTTACTCTGTGACTGACAACTGCTCAGTTGGAAGGGACCTACAACTACTATCAAGTCAACTGCCTGATCAATCCAAAATTTAAAGCATGGTACCATGGGTATTGTCCAAATGCCTCTTAAACACTGATCCCCTTTCTAAGAAGCCCGTTCCAGTCATTGACCACCCTACCAGTAGAAAAAATGCTTCCTAATGTTCAATTTATACCTCTCTTGGTGCAAATTTGAATCATTCCCATGCATCCTATAGCTGGATCTCTGCAAGAAGGGATAAGCATCTCCTTCCTCAGGGACCAATGGGACCTCAGGGAGCAATGAGATCACCCCTCAGGCAGTCCTCATCTTCTCCAAAGTAGACAAACTCAGTCCTCAGCCATTCCTCAAACGACAGGCCTTCCAGCTCTTTCTCCAGCTTGGTTCTTCAGTCTGGTTGTATTCATGTGCCTTAGTACGCTTTTCACTGCACACAGTTACACGCAAGAAGGCCATGACAATGCTGAATACAGTTGGACAATCTCCTCTTTTGACTGTTTGGCTATCTGAGATGCACCCAAGGGTGCCCTCTTGGCTGCCAGGGCACATGTGGGCTCATACTGAGCTTGCTGTCAACCAGCACCCTGAGGTCTCTCTCTGCATGGCTGCTCTGCAGTCACTTCTCTCCCAGGTAAAACTAGTGTCCTGTTCCAGCTGCAGAGCCCCACATTTGTTCTTGTTGTATGTCCTGCCAGTGGTGATTGCCCAATGCGCCAATCTATCTAGATCCCTTGCAAGGCTCTTTGCACCTTGAGAGAGCCAACTGCACCTCCCAGTTTGGCGTCATCAGCAAAATTGCTAATGGCCCATTCAACTCCTGTCTCCAGATAAGATTATTGAGCAAAGCTGGCCCCTAGAATTGAACTCTGAGGAGCAACACTGGTGACTGGGCACCAGCCTGATGCAACTCTCCTTACTAAAACCCTATGAGCCCTGTCATTTAGCTGTCTCTTTTACCAGTGCACCACTCATTTGCTCACCCTACAGCTGCAGAGCTTGTCCAGGAGGCTACTGTGAAGAAAAGCATCAAAAGCCTTACTAAAATCCAGAAACACTACACTCACTTTTTTACCTTCATCCACTGGGCGGGCAACTTGTCAGAAAGTTTTAAAAAAATTTTCATGTCTTACAATAAGATATGTCTTAATGCCAAGGAAACCTAGCCAAAAAAATGGGTCATTTGCACTTAATTCTTATATTTAGTATATAACTGCAAGAACATTTCAGCTACAAGTTTGAATTCAAAAACATACACTTTATCTATTCCAAAATTCAGAAGCAAGATGCCACAGAATTGCAGAATAGTGTGAGGTATAAAGCTTCCATCTTACAGTAGCACCTAGAAGTTGTAATGCATTTGCACTCCAGTTGCAAATGCAGAACAGCATCCTACTAACAAAACCAGATTATGAAGTAATTACCATTCATCCAGAAAATAATGGTAATAGATGATTATTTTCTTCTCCAGCTCCTGCAATGACAGCTTTATTTATTTGGCCTTTCCACAGTACTACTCACATCTCCAAATCCAACAGGCTGATGTTACAAGACACACTAACACTGAGAAGTGCCCTCAAGGCTTCTCAAGAGTGATTTGAAAGATGAATGGAACAATCAAAGTATCCTAGTTTACTTGGACTGTATATCTTAGTACATGACAAACACAAAACAGTCCTTCAGCTGCCTTTCTAAACTAAATGATGCAGATATTAGACACAATAGGTGTATCTAAATTTAATGAAAAGTACATGGAGAACTTGCTCCATAATTGAGGTGTTTTATGCATAATCATACATTTGGGCCTTGCTCTGAAGAATTCGTTATTAAAGCATGAGAAAGAGAAGTAAAACTACCAGGACAAAAAAATACAGTGACAAACACTGTACTTAACTGCATAAGCAATCGATGAGAAACAGAAAGGCAGCTAAGTGGAAGCAAGCTTTTCAAGGGCCCTTTTCTTAAAAAGACACAAAATGGGTTAATTTTACTGTAAAAAAAAAACATAGAAGAAATATGTTTACTGCCAAAGTCGGGGAGGACAACTTGGGTAGTTTAGCGACATAGAAGTTTGCCAACTGGTCAAAAATCACTCTAAGAACACACAAAATAAATTTAGGTGGGCTGACGGATGCCAGCAGTGACAAATCCACCCGGAGGGCACAGGAGGGAGATGAGAAGAGGCCAGCACCGATGCGCGACTCTGGGTGACGCGAGCGGAGCGGACCGAGCTGCTCCGCGCCCGCACCGGGGGGCGGCACCGGGAGGCACCGGGAGGTACCGGG